GCGCGGGGGACAGCGGCGACGCGTCCGCCAGCGCGTCCGCGAAGTGGTACTCGCTCGACACGTTGCGGCTGGCGTAGGGCAGCCCGCCGCGCTCCAGGAGGAGCACGCGCGAGCGCTCCGACAGCGTCGCCGCCAGCGGGCAGCCCGCCGTGCCGCCGCCCACCACGATGTAGTTGTAGTAGGACACCAGCGGCGCGTCCCGCGCGTGCCGCACGAACCTGAAGTTGTACCTCTGCGCTGCAGCGAACAACATGCATTGCCCGTGTCGGTGCGAAGTGAATCGAATGGGCGACAAACCTATTGCTCACCACCGGCATTCGCAGCTTACCTTCCGGCGAGGCGGTGACGACGGTGATGCAGAAGGAGCCCAGAACGGTGGCCAACACAATGGCGACTCCGCACAGCATGTGGCCAGCCGACATGGTCACGGATTCAGCTTGGGCTTTTGCTGACAAAACGTGGTGACTTTGTGTTATATATATGCAAGTTGCCGTGGCTCGATTAGATAAGGAGTAGATGCCAGTTAGGTTACCATCATCAGGGCAAAGGGATAATGTCTCTGTAGTGCAAAGATGGTCTCCGAGTGATGCGGTCATCAGAAAGACAAGGCGCGGGCGTCATTAGAACCTTTGTGTGTCAGTGTATGGTAAGCTCCAGGACTCTTGGGGACAAATATTTCAATGGCGGGAACCAGTGTGTCATCCATGATGATGCAGCAGGTGAGCAGGAAGATGAGAAAAGAATCTAGAGACAAGTGATGATGGTGGGGCTGCTAGAAATGAAGGCCCAAAAGAGCCTACAGTATTAGCATTCTTTTGCTAATTGGGCTAGGCCTTTTTGTTTGGTCTGGTAGTGGACTGGAGATGTGAAATTGTGTCACCGGATTGATGATCTCAGATTCTCAGTATCTCGTTCACTCTTGTCAGCAGAGAGGCCTCTTTACGTGTGATTGGTTTCCTTAGATGCCCCTAGACAGCCATGAGTCATCCAACGGAGGTGTTTGAGACCGCTCCGCTTTCGTTTTTTACAGCTATATGTTGTTAAACACTTATAGCTCTAAAAACTCCGCTCCAAAAAAAGATGGAGTTGAGAGACCAACTCCACATTTTTTCTGAAACACCTCATAGGGTACCCCAGGTTTTGGACTTCCGTACTTCCTCATGGAATTTAAGAAAATTACCCGTATTTGCCACTAATTAATGCACAGTGGAGTCCGACCGATCGCGCTCTATTGGCTCAAAAATAGCTATTAGGAGACCGAAACATAATGAACCAGTGAGACCATCCCAAACACCCTCTAACTCCACGTTTTTTCTAGAGCACCTCAAAGGGTACCCCAAGTTTTGGACTTCTGTACTTCCCCATAGAGTTCAAGAAAATTACCCGTATTTGCCACTAATTAATGCACAGCTCAGTCTGACTCCGGTGCGTTCTACCGCCGCGAGCTATAGTTATTAGGACCGGATCGGACATCGAACCAGTGAGACCATCGGTTCACTAGTTTACTAGTCCAACCGTTAAGAACCAGTTGAACCGCCGGTTCGATAGTTTTAAATATGGATTAACATTTGAAGTATATAAAATCACGAAAATATATTAAAATAACTTAGCAACTCTCTGAATATATATATATATATATATATATATATATATATATATATATATATAAGTTGGACTTATAGTATATTTGGACTTATAGTATAGAAAAATAAGCACATAAATATTTTAATTGTATAATCACAATAGCTGCACTCAAAAATTAATGTGGCATTTGAAATCATAGTCATAATATATAAGTTCTTAATTCATAATTCAAATTCAACAAACAGTTTTACACTCAAACACAACTTACCAAGTACCAAATAAATAGTACAGATCGACACCCACAATCACAGGAGCATAACAACTGCAACTCGGAATCAGTCAATTTTAAGGATCTGAGAACATGAGATTGAGAAGTCTTAGTACTATACTAACTACTAGTAGGAGTAAGTACTAACCGTTAGCCATAGTAGACGGGACGGGAGATGGCTGCTGACGGCGGCCCGACGTCCCTGCACGGCTGCGCCCGCCCTGCAGCTGTCTGGGCACAAGCTCACCATTAGACAGCAGAGGGCACCGACTATTGGAGCAGAGAAGCAGGGACCAGGCCACCAGGGAGCACCGGATCAGGCAAGCTGCAGCCTGCAGCAGCCGGGCCGCCGCAGTGCCGCACGCAGGATACGCTCGCCTTCCGCACCTTGTCCTTGCTCACCGCTGCAGCCCTGCAGGAGCAGGATCCGGCAGCCGCGGCCGCCCGTTGCGCGCACCCTCCTTTGCACCGCGCCCCGTGGCCCACCGCCGCCGATAGCTGCCTGCGCGCGCGCCGGTGCCAGGAGCAGAGCCACCGCCGCCGCCCAGAACCGCGACGAAAAGGAAAAGGTGAATATTTTCCCTCCCTCAGCCGGTAAACATCACCCATTTTCACCGATTTACATCAATGCCCCTAAGCAGATAAGGTTGCCCACCGTGCACAAAGGGGTAACTTTGAAAAAAAAAAACCCCACCGGTTTGCATAGAACCGGCCGGTTCACCGGTTCCGTAAAAACCGGCCGGTTCAACCGGTTTTATCGGTTCGATTGCATAGATGGTCTTTTTAAGTGAGCTGGACCGGTCTAGGCTCTGGTTTGGTCTTTTAACGGTCCGACCGCCGGTCCGATCCGGTCCTAATAACTACGCCGCTAGCACCCGTGCATGCCCGCATGGTGCCCCTTGGCATCGCCCACTTCCGTGGCGCTGGATCCCCCATAGCTCATCTAGTCATGTTAGCTTTTTATTAGATTATTTGAATAAGATAAGCATCTATAATCGGAAGCAACAAATGACATTGGTCCAAATGAGGAGCGTGCCGTTTTGATATATTAAAAAATGTGCAAAGGAGGCCTTAATAATTATTTTGACTAAATTATTTGCAACTATAATATTTTGCAGCATATTCACTGTTAAAGAACAATCACACACACATATATATATATATACACTTACAAACGTCAAAACATTAGTCACACATCATCTAAGGGCATATTAGGCCATTCAAAAAAAAAACTTCTATTTTTTGAGATGCTCCATGGTAAAGCTAATGAAGCGGAGCTGTAAAAACGGAAGCGGAGCTGTCCCAAACACTCTCTATTTGTTGACATTCTCCCCATCACCAATCCGCCATATAAAGCCTTTTTTAGCAATTCAACCCCTTTTCAAAGTGCTCTTCCAGGTGCATGATTTGATCTGTACATTTGAGAATGTTTGTTCCTGAGAAATAATTTGCCTTTAGTTTGTGAGGATTTGTAAGCAAGCTCCAAGCTTTGCGGCTTAGCATGGCCACGTTAAACAGATATATTATATATCCATAAAGCATAGCCCATATTTTTTCTTGGAACTGGTAAGTTTTTTCAGCAGAACCAATGAATCTTATTCACTTTTGTGCTGTTGGCTCCACCAATAATATCTCTCATTCATGCTATTTAGCTCATCACATAAATGTTATATTCTAGGCTGTATAGTATTCTTAACAACAGGCCGTTTGAGCCTCCGTGCGTGTTTAGATTCATTGCTCAAGCTTGCCACGCCTCGTCTCACCGGATAGAGACTAGAACAGGTAGGGCCGTTTCTGTTCTTATGTTTGTCTGTCTTTGAGCCTTGGATAGCCAATTTGGCTTGTTTACTGCTGACGGGGGCGAGGAAATAAGCTTAAGAACCACTTCATGACCTAAACCATCCCCAAGACTCCAACGGTCCGATGCTCACCACCACTGACGACTGTAGAATCTTCCCATGCCAGTGAGTACATGCTCAAATATCCTACAGCAGGGATCGAGCCGTAGCTCGAGTGGCAAACGCTGCAGGTGGGTGGTGCAGCGGCCGGTCGTGGGTTCGAGCTATGCTCAACTCACGATCCCCACCGGGGTTTTTCCCCATATTTAACAGGTACAACCTCTCTCGCGTGGAGTTACAAGGGGATTGTGGTGCGCCCGTCGTCTACGGAGCATTGGATGGTTTTGGTGATCTCCTCAAGAACACGATTTTGGAATCTATGTGTAGTTGTAGAGTCTGTTTATGTACATAAGGTGTAAGTGTGTGAGTGTGTGGTGTTTGTGTGTCTGTTCATGAACAGATATTATAGTTGTACCTAGACGAGAGACGAAAAAAAACCTACAGCAAGTGGCAAGTGCCCCTCTGCTCCGAGTCCCTTCCCCACAGATCGCTTTGGGAGGAGCCCCGGAAGCAGACGAACGCCCGAGGCCGAGGACCGTTGGGCTTGCGTGGCATCAGCTCGTCGGCCGGCCCGTGCTACGTGTCGCCGCCCCGGCGAGATGGGCGGTGCACCCGTCAATGAAAGCAGAGGAAGACGTACTTCCACATCGCAGCAGTACACCAACGGTACCGAACTAGCAAACCCACTCTCACCGTCCGGCCTTCTTTACATCACCTCCAAATTCTAAATTTTTTCACTCTCTTTTCATCACATCAATTTTTAGACGTATGCATGAAGCATTAAATATAGATAAAAAAATAACTAATTGCACAGTTTGGTTGTAAATCACAAGACGAATCTTTTGAGCCTAGTTAGTCTATGATCGGACAAAGTTTGTCAAAAACAAACGAAACATGCTACAATGTCCAGATTGTAAAAATTTACAATATAAACCAGGCCCAAGTACATGTGCTAGCGCACGAAGTTGAGCCATCGAAGTTTTTCCTTAAAAAAACAGAGCAAGCAACAATAAAAGGAAAGAAGACGACGATCGGCGAGCAGCAGCAGCAGCAGCAGCAGAAATTTGTTCATCTCATGAACTTCTCTGTTTACAAAGCTAGTGATGTCCCTTACAAGTTACACGCAGGCATTCAAGTTAGCCACAGACGCACGCCTCGTTCAGGGCAACGAACGAGCTTGTTTGACTTGCTGGATCGGTCGAGTCGATCCAACACCAGCGCTTCCGACGGCCGATGGATGATCGCTGTTTCTACCTGGGCTTGGATGGCGTGATCCGGATGACGAGGCCGGGGAAGACGTCGTCGGGGTCGTGCACGTGCGGGTTCAGCTCCAGGATGAAGGGGTCGCCGCACTTGTCGCTGATGCTGTGCAGCGTCTCGCCCTCCGCCACCACGTAGATCTCCTCGCACGGCCGCGCCGACAGCGCCGCGCCCCGCACGACCACCATGCCGCCCTCCCCGGCACCGGCACAGCCATCGCCGGCTCCCAGCGTGCACACCACCACCAGCATCGCCACCAGCGACAGCGCCACGCACCACGACGTCGTGTCCGCCGCCGCCGACACCCACTCCTTCAGCTGCCGCCTCGCCATGGCCATGGCAAGATCACAGCACACAACTATACTGTATATATGCGAGTCAGCCGAGCTTTGATGGCTTGCAAATTTGCAATGCGTTGCTTTGCCGGTAGTGTCAAGTGTGAGTTGGGGAGCTGTTCTTTTCTTGGGCAGTTGGTGGATGCTTTATATAGAGCCAGAGGTCAGCGTGGAGCGGTAGCACAGGGAGTCAGGGACAGGAAGGCTGCTGGGAGCATGTAGGGCCAGGGCGCCACGTGGTGGGATGCAGCTTTGGGCAAGTATCCGTTGGAAGGAAGCTCAGCAGCGGCTCAGCGGCAGGCGGGCAGCGCTCTCGGTGTCGGGGGGTGTCAGTGGCAAGTGATGTCGCAGGGATTGCCGGATTGGCATGTGCAAAAATAGCAAGGGACTTGTTTAGATCACCTCAAAATTCTAAGTTTTTTTACTCTCTCTTCATCACATTAATTTTTAGCCGTTTGCATGGAGCATTAAATGTAGGTAAAAAAAATAACTAATTGCACAGTTTAATTAAAAATCACGAGATGAATCTTTTGAGCTTAGTTGGTTCACGATTGGACAATATTTACTAAATAAGACGAAAATGCTACTATTCATCGGGTTGAAATTTTTTGCAATCTGAACATGGCCAAGATTAGCATCATGCTTCGTTTCCTGGAGGACTGGCTATTGATTCATCCTTTTTCTTTTTGTGGTATACGTACTGTTCAATGCAGCTCAGTAGATAGATTAATGTGGCTCGTTATCTAAAGAAGATAGATTAATGTGGCTTGCATTACGCTTTTATAGAAAAAGTGGCTTAAATTGGTATCATGCTGCAACAGGAACAAGGAACCAGAAATAAAGAAAAAATATGTTGATAAATTTCAAATCAAAGGCTAAAAAATTAATCTATAAAATACTACAAATTTGAGGCGAGTCACGTCGCAGTTACTGTTCATCGGCCGCGCCCCTGACTCAGATTCCTTTAGACGAACAGTAACGGGTCAGATGAACATTACCTGACCCGATAAGGAACAGTACCACCCTTTTCCTTTTTCCTTTTTTTCCGGTCCTCACAGCGTCCACTGTTGCCCCGCGCGAAGCGTAACGGATCAGATGAACAGTCCGACCCAATAAAGGAACAGTACCACCTTTTTTTTTTGCCCTCACAGCGTCCACTGTTGCCCGCGCAAAGCGCGGGGTTACCTGCTAGTTAGATTTTAAGCATGTGTTCGGCTGCTTATTTTTCGCAGCGCCGCGGCTGCAGGTTCCCACAGCTGATACAGTATTTTGTGTGTATAAACTCAGCAGCTGTGCTGAAAATAATTTCAGCCGAACATTTGTAGCTTGATGAGCGTGACGATAACTACAGCTATTTTTCTATATATGTCCGGCTTAGATCTAATGGTGCAGCACCGGTCCTACCTCCAGCCCTTAGGCGCATGCTTAGCGTGCAGGTACTTTTTTTTTTCGGAGATGCTACAACCCGAGCGTCCGGCCCTCTCAACCACTCATTCTCAGTGTTAATTCTTGTCCACTCATTTTCTTAGCCTTCCACCGACATCACCTCTTGCTCTGCCTCTTCTTCAGACTCATCCGTTTGTGGCTCGCCCCACTCCATCTGTCGCGCCCCCTTCCCCCACAGCGCCCCGTCCTCGCCGCGCACGCCGTGTGCTTGCTCCCACCACGCCGCGTGCCCATCCCCTTCCGCACCCCACTCCATCCTCGTCGGTCGCGGTCGTGGCGTCACCTGGCCACTGAAAGTATCTAGGCCCCTAGTTGGGTTTCGGTGATTAATGATGACATGATATTACTATGACTAACATGTGTTTTGCAGAGGCAATTTGAGTTAGGTCATGATAATGGAAATTGATTGGACAATCATGGTTGTCATGCCCCCGTCGATGGAAATCGTTTCGGTTTTTAAAGGATGGATGACAAGGTAAAGGACCGACTAGTTCTAAGTGTCGTTTGGTGTTGGAGAGACACTCAGAGTATTTTAGAACTTTGTTTTCCTTTGGCCGTACTATTATGGGGGGTATGGACTAGTAGCTTAACCTAGGCGAGTCAAGTGGGTTAGATGTGGTGCACATTTGTCAAACCTAGCACTAGGTAGTTCAGGAATAGCTCTAAGATCAATTGGAGTAAACTTCATTCACATAGGATTTTGAGTTGGAAGTGAATAGAGGGTCAAATGACTGATCAGACACTGGTCTTATTGTGATCGGACACTGGAGAGTGAGTCCGGTCTATTCATTTGATCAACTACAATCGTCTGGTACAGACCGGACGCTGAGTGGAGCACCGGACGCTGGGGTGCTGACCGGACGTTAGTCAGAGTCCGGTCAGAGCTTAACGGCTCTCTCTGACACAGTGACGGGTACAACTGACCGGAGCGTCCGGTCAGCCCGCAAAGTGATGACTCAGCCTCCCAACATTATGGTTGGAATAAGGGGTTATAAATACTTACTTCAATCATTCATGGGAGGTCTCTTGCCCATTTGTTCAGCTAAGAAACACCTTTGGAGTGCAAGCGAGAGCAAGAGCCTAGTGGGGTGATTGAAATTTGATAATCTAAGATTAAGGACCTTATTAGTGCATAGGAAGTAGCAAGTGTGCATCCACCTTACTCATTAGGTTTGTCTTGGTCAAGTGAGAGTTTGTGCTTGTTACTCTTGGTGATCGCCATCACCTAAACGGCTTGGTGATCATCCGACGAAGCTTGTGGATGACCTAAGTCAAGTTGTGGGCGATTCACCGCGATGGAGGGTCAAAGAATCAGCCCGTAGAGAGCACTTGATCCTTGCGCGGATCAAGGGGGGCTACACCCTTGCGTGGGTGCTCCAACGAGGACTAGTGGGGAGTGGCAACTTTTCGATACCTCGGAAAAACATTATCGTGTTCCTTTCCCTCTCTTTACATTGAGCATTTATATTTAAGCAATTCATTTCATATTTTATATTCATAGAATTGTCATGCCAGAGTAGGATTGGATCCTAGGGTGCATATCTTTTGTACGGCAGAATATTAGAAATACATTTAGGCACAAGGGGTGAAATGGGCTAATTGTAGGGCTTAATTATTGTGAAAATTTAGAATTTGTCCAATTCACCCCCCTCTTAGACATCTTGATCCTTTCAGCCACCACCAACCCAACGCCACTAGTAGGAGACCGTCGCCGACCTTTATATCATCTCCTGCTGCTAGCCAATGACACCACGGTATGAAGGGAAGTTCGACAGCGGAGGTTTATGCTGGGCCGTTATTCTTGATGTCATCCTGATCCGAGCTTGCTGACCACTATAGCCCCCCAACCAGGTAGGCCATGGCTGCCGACAACGCCGTGTTTAAGTGTTTCAGGCGTTTTCAAATATGTTGCAAGTCTATATTTCAGATGTATATATTTCAAGTGTTTAATATGGATATTGCAAGAGTTGATCGAGATGTTGCATATGTTGCTGTAGTTGCACTTACGAATGTTGCAAGCATGTTTATCTAGATGTTGCATTTGTTTGTAATTATTTTCAAGTGTTTTTATATGGCAGAACCACATAAAATAACACACTTTCGGAGGCGCTCGTCTTCCACTAGACATTAAGCACCTCGAAAATGAGCTACATCGGATAGTTCCGTCGAGCACACCCCAAGAGAGAACTCAAAACAATCCATGTTTTACATCTAGAATCTAATAATGAGTACGAGCTTACAATATTTAGTCAATTTGATACAACAAGAGTTATTAGAAATTATTTATTACAATACCAGAGTTCAAAGTGCGATAATTAAACAGCAGAATGAAAATAAACATCTAGCAGAAATGATATAAGGATCCATCTGTGCCCACCAGAAGAATCCTCCACACAAGAGCTACTCCTCAAGCTGCACCTGCAACAGAGGTAAATAAACCCTTAGTGCACAATGTACTCGTAAGACTTACTCGACTAGTGGGAATAGTTTCCTGACTCTCAAGAATATGATAGACAATATGGGTTTACTATTTTCTTTTGTTTCTACGAAAAGCATTACTAATAGTTTATCCTTACAGTCAAGTTTTATTAGCAGTTACGATTACTTCATTAGCTAACCATTCTAGGTAAGCACCTGTTCTACTTTCAAGCAAGGGTTGAGCAATCAGAACTACTTCACCATCTTTCATCTTTTAGTTCTTACTACGGTGCTAGACCATAGCCAAGTCGTACCGTCTCACGAAAACAGCTATTCACGAACCAATGTATCCTAGCTGGGTACCCCGAAACACACGCCATGTTTGTACCCCAGGCACAAACAAGACCAACCAATTTCACTCTTGTCACGGGATCCAGGTCCTCGTCCAAATTTGGACTCCAAGCCCCCACACTTGAGATCCGGTCTTAATATGGTGCTTAGACCTTCACCTTTCCCCGCCTCTAATCAGTCGGTCCGAAAAGAACCGTAACCCACGATAAGAGCGTAACGAGCCTTCCCGCTCCCATAAGCAAGTATTTGCTCAAGATAATAAGTCTGTGACCTGACTACTATCCACAGCAACGGACGGTTCTTAATCAACACGAATAGAGAAAAATAGTGTAACCAAGCTAAGCCTCGTTGGCCATGGGACACAACATGTTACACCCACCAATACCCATACCATATCTCTACTCTATCTCTATTTTTTCTTTCATCATTTTATTATGAGAGTAATAATAATCACCTATTATGAGTAAGGACAGATTACTCACGCTACCGAAACCTAAGCATAGTAGCTACTCGAACATGCACTAGTAAGACTCTTAGAACAGGTATATCTATGCATATAGTTTTCATAAAATTCCTGTAACGTAAATGCACATCACATATATATATATATATATATATTCAGTGATTATAAAAAATAAGGGTTATGAACTGAGGCTTGCCTTGGGCAGGCATTGTGTCGGCTGAGTCAGTCAGTGGTGGCTCCGGGACCTCCTCCTACACGAGAATCTTCTCGTACTCCTCGACGATCTCCGCCAACTCGTTCTCTACATGCATGCGATGATGATGCA